CTTAATAACTTAATTTCCTAATCTCCTAATATCCAGTATATCTTATTATCCTAATATCCTAATATCTTAGTATCCTAATATCCTAATATCCTAATATCCTAATATCCTAATATCCTTATATCCTTATATCCTAATATCCTAATATCCTAATATCCTAATATCCTAATATCCTAATATCCTAATATCCTAATATCCTACTTATCCTAATATCCTAATATCCTAATATCCTAATATCCTAATATCCTAATATCCTAAAATCTTAATATCCTAATATCCTAATATCCTAATATCCTAATAATTTAATATCTTAATATCTTAATATCTTAATATCTTAATATCTTAAAATCTTAAAATCTTAAAACCTTAAAATCTCAATATCTTAATATCTTAATATCTTTAAATCTCAATATCTTAAAATCTCAATATCTCAATATAATAATATCTTAATATTTTAATATCTTAAAATCTCAAAATCTCAATATCTTAATATCTTAATGTCTTAAAATCTTAAAATCTTAATATTATAATATCTTAATATCTTAATATCTTAATATTTTAATATCTTGAATCTTAATATCTTAAGATCTTAATATCTCAATATCTTAATATCTTAATATCTTAAAATCTCAATATCTTAAAATATCAATATCTCAATATCTTAATATCTTAATATATTAAATCTTATTATATTAATACCTTAATATCTTAATATCCTAATACCTTAAAATCTTAATACGCTTATATCTTAATATCTTAATATCTTAATATCCTAAAATCTCAATATCCTAATATCTTAAAATTTCAATATATTGAAATCTCAATATCTCAATATCTTAATATCTTAATATCTTAATATCTTATTATCTTAATATCCTAATACCTTAATCAATATCTCAATTTATTAATAACTTAATATCTTAATAACTTAAAATCTCAAAATCTCATTGTCTTAATATCTTAATGTCATAATATCTTAATATCTTAATATCTCAATATCTTAAAATCTTAAAATCTTAAAACCTTAAAATCTCAATATCTTAATATCTTAATATCTTTAAATCTCAATATCTTAAAATCTCAATATCTCAATATAATAATATCTTAATATTTTAATATCTTAAAATCTCAAAATCTCAATATCTTAATATCTTAATGTCTTAAAATCTTAATATTATAATATCTTAATATCTTAATATCTTAATATTTTAATATCTTGAATCTTAATATCTTAAGATCTTAATATCTCAATATCTTAATATCTTAATATCTTAAAATCTCAATATCTTAAAATATCAATATCTCAATATCTTAATATCTTAATATATTATATCTTATTATATTAATACCTTAATATCCTAATATCCTAATACCTTAAAATCTTAATACGCTTATATCTTAATATCTTAATATCTTAATATCCTAAAATCTCAATATCCTAATATCTTAAAATTTCAATATATTGAAATCTCAATATCTCAATATCTTAATATCTTAATATCTTAATATCTTATTATCTTAATATCCTAATACCTTAATCAATATCTCAATTTATTAATAACTTAATATCTTAATAACTTAAAATCTCAAAATCTCATTGTCTTAATATCTTAATGTCTTAAAATCTTAAAATCTTATTATCATAATATCTTAATATCTTAATATCCCAATACCTTAAAGTCCTAATACCCTAATACCTTAATATCTTAATACCTTAATATCCTAAAATCTCAATATCCTAATATCTTAAAATCTCAATATATTGAAATCTCAGTTTCTCAATATCTTAATATCTTAAAATCTTAAAATCTCAATATCTTAAAATATCAATATCTCAATATTTTAATATCTTAATATATTAAATCTTAATATCCTGATATCTTAATTTCCTAATATTTTAATCAATATCTCAATATATTAATATCTTAATATCTTAATAACTTAAAAATTCAAAATCTCAATATCTTAATATCTTAATGTCTTAAAATCTTAAAAGTTTAATATCATAATATCTTAATACATTAATATCTTAATATCCTAATACGTTAAAATCTTAATACCCTAATAATTTAATATCTTAATATCTTAATATCCCAAAATCTCAATATCCTAATATCTGAAAATCTCAAAATATTGAAATCTCAATATCTCAATATCTTAATATCTTAATATCTTAATATCTTAATATCTTAATATCTTAAATTCTTAATATTCTAATATTTTAATATCTTAAAATCTTAGCATCCTAAAATTGCAATATCCTAATATCTTAAAATCTCAATATATTGAAATCTCAATATCTCAAAATCTTAATTTCTGAATATCTGAATATCTTAATATCTGAATATCTCAATATCTGAATATCTCAATATCTTAATATCCTAATATCTTAATATCCTAATATCTTAATATCCTAATACCTTAATACCTTAATACCTTAATACCTTAATACCTTAATATCTTAACATCTTAACATCTTAACATCTTAACATCTTAACATCTTAACATCTTAACATCTTAACATCTTAACATCTTAACATCTTAACATCTTAACATCTTAACATCTTAACATCTTAACATCTTAACATCTTAACATCTTAACATCTTAACATCTTAACATCTTAACATCTTAACATCTTAACATCTTAACATCTTAACATCTTAACATCTTAACATCTTAACATCTTAACATCTTAACATCTTAACATCTTAACATCTTAACATCTTAACATCTTAACATCTTAACATCTTAACATCTTAACATCTTAACATCTTAACATCTTAACATCTTAACATCTTAACATCTTAACATCTTAACATCTTGATATCTTGATATCTTGATATCTTGACATCTTGACATCTTGACATCTTGATATCTTGATATCTTGATATCTTGATATCTTGATATCTTGATATCTTGATATCTTAATTTCCTAATTTCCTAATTTCCTAATTGCCTAATTCCTAATTTCCTAATTTCCTAATTTCCTAATTTCCTAATTTTCTAATTTTCTAATATTTTAATATTTTAATATCCTAATATCCTAATATCCTAGTATCCTAATATCCTAATATCATCCTAATATCCTAATATCATCCTAATATCCTAATATCATCCTAATATACTAATATCATCCTAATATCCTAATATCATCCTAATATCCTAATATCATCCTAATATCCTAATATCATCCTAATATCCTAATATCATCTTTATATCCTAATATCATCTTTATATCCTTATATCCTAATATCCTAATATCCTAATATCCTAATATCCTAATATCCTAATATCCTAACATCCTAATACCCTTATACCTAATATCCTAATATCCTAATATCCATCATCCTAATATCTTACCTTATACCTAATATCCTAATATCCGAGTATCCGAATATCCGAATATCCGTTAATCCGAATATCCGAATATCCGAATATCCGAATATCCGAATATCCGAATATCCGAATATCCGAATATCCTAATATCCTAATATCCTAATATCTTAATATTTTAATATCTTAATATCTTAATATCTTAATATCTTAATATCTTAATATCTTAATCTTAATCTTAATCTTTATATCTTAATCTTAATCTTAATCTTAATCTTAACCTTAACATTAACCTTAACATTAACCTTGATTTTAACACTAACATTAATATCAACCTTGAGATTATCATACACAAAATTTAACAATATCATACATTGAAAACCTGATTCAGATAAAGAGACATTTGAAAAAAATCTTACCAGCTTGTTACAGTGAGCACTTAAAACTTTCACATAGGTTCTATGATTTGAATAGTCTACGGTAAGTTTATAAGTGCAGTTATACAGAAAAAGATAAATTCCAAGATATAGCTACGAATTTCAATGTTCCAGAGGCCTTCAATTTTGTTGAGAAATCGAAAAAGTGTTGTGGTTTTTCTTTCAACTTTTGTAAAGCAAAACATTAAGGTTTGGACAAGCAATTGACTCAACCAAAGCCAAGTTTAAGGCTACTACCCCGAAAAACACCTGAAAACAATTTTTTATGTTAGAATTGACTATCTGTTACATAGTTATATTACCTTTTTCTCCAGTTGATAAGGCGATCGGAAACCTCTGAATAGGATTCGTGGATTTATTAAAAGTACTATTCACACATCTAGCTGAAAATGACTTAGTTTTCTTCGATTTTGAAATCTGTTTTACCAAAAAAAATATTTTTTGCCTGTGAAAATTGCCTTGTTTGAACTTGCAGTTACTAATTGGGTATACTTGTTACGCATTTTTTTATTAAAACACACGTGTCTTTTTTGGAAAAACCAGTGCACAGTTTGAAATACTAGTCTAGTCCCTGAAAAAATGGTGCAGCATTCCAAAAAATAAGGCAAAAATTGAACTATGCCCTAAATTTTCAAACAAGGAATTTAAACACTGGAGCAATATCTTGTTTAGAACAAGTACAAGTAATTAAAGCATATTAGCCAAAAACTCACGAAAAATTTTTTTTTAACGAAAATTAGTGCTTCTTTCAAATTTTTCATATATGCTTCCTGGCAGTAAAGCAACAGAAAATAAAGCATTTCTGAATTTTTTTACCGCTTGATACTGTGTGTCTCGTTTTTGTTCACAATAGTTCACGATACATTGTTTAGATGTTGCTTATCTACTACAGAACGAACTATAAGAATTGCTAACTAAAGATGCAACAAAACCTGATTCATACTGGAATCACTTGTTCTCATTTTGGAACAAATTACCCCTGTTAATATCAGCACTCTTGCAATTATCAACAACACCATCATCATCGTCAACGCATCACCCTGAACAGCATCCTTTCCATGCATTAAACCGCATCCATCATCATCATCACACCATCATCATCACCATTACCATCAACATCGCTATCACTCTCACCATCATGGTCGCTATCACGATCACCACCATTATCGCTATCACCATCACTATGATTATCGCCATCATCATCCCCATCATTGTCGCCATCACCATCACCATCAAACGTCATTAATGCTATAACCATCATCATCATCCTCGGCATCACCATCATCAACAACATCATCAACATCGTCATCAACATCATCATCAACATCATCATCAACATCATCATTAACATCATCATTAACATCATCATTAACATCATCATTAACATCATCATTAACATCATCATCAACATCATCATTGACATCATCATCAACATCATCATCAGCATATTCATCAAGATCCTCATCAACATCATCATCAACATCATCATCAACATCATCATCAAGATCATCATCAACAACATCAACACTATCATCATCACTATCATCATTATCAACATCATCATCAACATCATCAACAACATCATCAACAACATCATCATCAACATCATCATCAACTACATCATCAACATCATCATCAACATCATCATCAACATCATCATCAACATCATCATCAACATCATCATCAACATCATCATCAACATCATCATCAACATCATCATCAACATCATCATCATCAACATCATCATCACATCATCATTAACATCATCATCAACCTCATCATCAACCTCATCATCAACCTCATCATCAACATCATCATCAACATCATCATCAACATCATCATCAACATCATCATCAACATCATCATCAACATCATCATCAA